ATGGAAGGTGCAGGAAGAGTTGTTGGAGGCATTTTTAGAAGCTTAGCTGTTTGTTACAGGTCTGATGCTAAAATTCCTTGCTAAAAATAGTTTGCAAAGGAACTCTGTGGCAAGTCAATAATAGCCTTATACGCTCTGCAGAGAATTCTGTCTAGCCTACTTCTGTCTGAAAATGTTGCATGAAAAAAGTGCATGGCAAAATGAAATCCTGTTCAGATATGTGGAGCTAGAGAAGTTAACTCTTAAGATTAAAAAAAAGAAAAAGCTTTTCATATCTTCTTTCATATGAAGAAGCATCAGGGTCAATCTGGAAGAAATAATTACATGCATTTTGAAAGAAGTGCAATTTGGGATGTGACTGAGTAGTTTAGTGATAGGATAATTTTAAATGTAGCTTGCTGAACCAAATCAGCCTGCTAGACTTAATTCTTAAATATATCTCTCAATTTCTACAGAAATTAATTAAAACCTTAAATATCAGATAATACTTAGAATGGGATGGAATGGGATGGAATGAAATGGAATAGAATAGAATAGAATAGAACAGAATGATAGAATATATTATAGAACTCTTCAGCTGTGCCCTTAAAAAGTTGTGTTAATCTTGCAATTAAAAATCTCTTGTCTTTTATGATATTTTCAGCACTATATCCATTGCTTTGGAACCTGAAATTTTTTTTCCTGATCCTTGTTTCATTCTTACTATTGCAAAAACTCTGAGAAGTGTTTCCCACTTGAGGGGTTTGAGTAACTTCTCATTTTAAAAATATCAGGCGCAGATTAGTGGCAGTGTCTAGAGACTATAGCAATACGACTCATTTTCCAGTCACAGTGTTGCTGGACCAGATCTTTCTGAATTCGCACACACGAGCATCAATCTATTCAAATGATCGTGTTTTGCTTTCCTGCATAATCAAGTTTGTTACTGCCAGCATACAAAGATGTGAGCTTAGCCTTGACCTGCAGCATGTTCACAAAGAATTGGTTAATGCAGATGAAAATAGCAAAGTGTTCATCTACGTCAATGAGAATGGCTCGTGGCTTATTAGAAACGTTTCCTATATTGCAAGGTCTGTTGCAGCATTCAGAGAGTAACTGTTTGTCTCAGCATTTAGGTAAGAGCACTGCCAAAGCTGCTAGTAAAATTACAATCTATCTAATGTTGGGTTTAGTATTAGCAGAAGAAATTATGTATGAGCAGGTCAGCAGCTATGCCTTAGCTGTGTCTGAGGAAAGAATTAAAAGTCACCCGTGCTCACAGAAATACTCCCAGTGGTAATCCAATAAAGGCCACATGATCTATTCATATGTGATGCAATGCTCAGTTCTACTCTGTCTCTTTCTCTGCTCACACCCTGAATATTTTTATGTTTATTAGGCAATTTGTAGTAATGTGCTGATCTTTTTTTATGTATTGGCGTGTATGGCTAGAGTAAACCTTTCTGTCAGGTTGGAAAATCAATTTTACAAGAACCTGAAGTATTCCACCAGAGGATCAGGATTCTGTAGTTGTTATTGCTGACTGTAATATTTCAGGTAACTTTCACAACCTGTGATACAGCTAACAAGTAACTTGACAGTTTGCCAAGGCAGCACAGTTAGATTTGTTGAAAAGAGCTTTAAAATATTCATTAGGGCACTATATTTGTGAATGATGTATGAAGTTAATAACAAATTCAAGGTTAAGAACAGTCTGAATTCTCAGAAACTTAGCTCTGAGGGAAGTGAAATTTTATTAGTCATTTCTGGTTTAGCATACTAGTAGGGAATATTCTGATTTAACAGGGTTTTTTATTTAGAAAAATAGACAGGATCCTCAGTAAACAAATTTCATGAGGAAAAATTAAGTGGTCTTTGAAGAGAGAGAATTTCTTTTCCAGAAGAGTCAGAAGACTGCCCTGTGCTTAGCTTCTGTGTGCTGTGAAAGTGAATTATGAATAGCTGCTGTGTTTTCTCATGTAGTTTTCAATTTTCAGCTGCAGATGCAGTGTGTTCTCTGTCCCATGCATCTGCTGCATGGCTGTGCTTACCCATCCCAAACACACAGTCATGTGGGTCTTCTGACTCTCACTCATTTCTGTTTATCTCTATAGTAGCTTCAAGCAACCAAGAAATGCTCAGGCTTTGCAAGTACTGCTGAATTTGTCTCATCATTTTGTGCAAGCATAAGCCCACAGAAAGACCGTTTTGTCTGTCTTTACAAGTCCAGAGGAGCACGTGGATATGTACAACTGTAACAGACAGTTTACTTTGCCTAATGTGACAACACTGTGCCTACTCAACCTCTTCGGACAATTGACAAATCAACCAAAAATCTGAGTTTAAAAAGGAAGTTTCCATGCTTATAGTTAAAGGAACAGTATTAAATTTCATGACCTTGATAATATTTTGAACTTTTTAAATTTGGGAATTAATGGCATATGGGGAAGGTATTACACTAATCTAGGTAGTGGTTTTACACTGTGTTTAGGTTTTGTTGTTTGTTTTTTTTTTCCCCCAAATACAAATTCTTCAATGATTCTGTTTTTCCCAAGGAGAAAATGTAATCTGAAGACAACGTAATAACTCTGCTTTTGTCTCGGTATCACTGGTGATATGAAACAACTGGACTGAAATTAACAGAGTTGCACAATTATTTCTGTAGTTACTGGAATCATTATGATGCTATTGACTTTAAAAGAACACACACATACCCAAGGGGAAAATTTAGTACAGATGTAATTAGAGCATTGTTTTGAGGTCAAAATTTGGTTTGAGGATAAACTTGGATTAAGGTACCCTGATATCTTTTCCAAACCAATGTAGAGTGATATACATTGTAAAATAAAGAGGTTTTTTTATTATGAAGAATTCATTCCGTCTGAACTGCAAATGACTGTTTTATTAATCACTATTTCAAAAAATAGTCTTTGATTAAAAATACCTACTGAATAAAAATAAAAGAACAAAATTCTGTCACTGAATTTCTGTAGGGAGCACAATATACTCAAGCGACTATAAATTAGCATGTACTACTTTGTCACATTAATAATACATGAAACTGTCATTTCATAGGGACAGGCAAAGATGATGAAGGATGGAAAGGTTTTTAGAGTTATTCAAGAGAACTGCTGGGATCCAGAAGTACGGATTAAAGAGATGGATCTATCAGGTACCTCCATAAAGGAACTGAAATCATAATATCTCATTTAGAATAACAGCAATGTTTCTGTTAGTGCATCTGAAAGTGCTTGATAACCATATCAAAATTAAAAGGTTTAGCATACGGATTCATTAGTTTAAATCTGTTGAAAGTTAGTGAAAATTGATATGCTTTATATTCAGACTCAAATGGGACATGTTCCTGTAACTTACCTCATTTTCAGTAGCAATTTATTGCCCACTTGGGCTCACTAATTTTGGTGGGATTGTTAATACAGTAAAGAACTACTGTATTATTGACATAAGTGTTATATTGACAGGTAAGGATGACTGACTGTGGGCTTGTGTCGTGGTTTTTGGACTGAGGGTCGAGACAAAAAGTAATTTACTTAAAAGGGGAAGCCCTTATAGTTTCATTCCAAATGTTAAAAAGATTCTGTTTAGTCATAGGATTTTTTGTATGTTTGTTTCCTTTTTTAATATTTTTTTCTGTTTAGGTATTGCAACTTCATTCTGTATTTTTGCTAGAGGACTCTGAGCCTAGAGATCTGGTACAATTGCTTTCTCAGAAAAGAGAGTTTTCCTGATTTAGAAAGAAACTTAACCAGATGCAAAATTCACAAATTTATTTTCCATCAAGTTACTTACATACCACTAAATAAGGTTTGTAAGATGGGAGACTGTGAATGGGAGAAGGAACTTTTAGTCTGATCAATTATTTTTGTTAGTTCTTATTAACACCGTAATTCCAAATTACTTTTGTGAGAGAAATGTTGTTACTAAAGATTTTTTTCCTAGATTGAGGCCTGAATAATTCCCTATTCCATCGGTTTCTTAGTAGGCACAACTTGAGTATCTTCTCCAGCTTTTCATAAGGAACAAACATCTGAATTACTTTGACGAGCAGATATTTTATAAGTAGCATCTTTATGATTATTGTTTCCTTCTCTCATGGGATAGCATGTTAGGAGGTACTTTGGGTTGTTCTCCTTACGGAGGTTTACTGCAACATATAACTTAGGCCAACTTAGGAACTCGGGGACTGCTGGGCAATTTATATGAACACAACTTAGATAATTTTCAACTACCTCATTTTCATCCTGGAGAAACAGTATTTCAAACTCCAACCATTAGACTGTTAATGGGAATACTAGAACATCTTTGCAACCTCTCTGAAATATGCTGCCTTGACTAGACTGTAATCATTCCCTGAGTTAGCTCAGGAATTTGGGGGATTTCCACATCATTCAACCACAGTGTGGATCATAAATAGGCTTTAGGCATCTTTCCCTTTCAGAAATTTCCCCCAGCACTCATGGCAAGTTTCTATAAAACAATTCTGACCCATCTATTTGCTGTAGACAAAGGGAAAACACAGGAAGAATTTTTTTCAAATTTTTGCAACAGCTCCCCAGAAAAGAAAATGTATCAGAAAGCCAACACCACAATATTTCTCAACAAACTAAACAGTGCTCACTTGGTTAAAAAAAAAAAATCTAAAACCGTGTGTTGCAGCACCATCTGGTGACTTGTGGCTGTCCCCAGTCCAGAAATACAGGCATCAGCCAAATAAGCGTAAAAAAACAGGTCTTAGTGTTCTTCATTCGTACTGATCTTCTAACGATAAGGACTATGGGCCGTATTTACTCTTTTTCAGTTTACAAAGCTGTAGCTATTTGGTTCAAAGACCATTTTCTGTAACACAGGCTGAGATGGATTATACCCCAAAATTTAACCTTCAAACATGGCATAATTTTGGAACAAAGATGCAAGGAGTCTCCCAGCTGAACCAAACATATGAGTCACTGTAAGGTATGTCATGGTTTAGCCCCAACTGGCAGCTAAGCACCACGCAGGTGCTCGTTCACTCCCCTCCCTGGTGGGGTGGGAGAGAGAATCCAAAGAGTAAAAGTGAGAAAACTCGTGGTGAGATAAAGACAGTTTAAGAGGTAAAGCAAAATCCACACATGCAAGCGAAGCAAAATAAGGGGTTCGTTCACTGCTTCCCTTCGGCAGGCAGGTGTTCAGCCATCTCCAGGGAAGCAGGGCACCATCACACATGGCTGTTACGTGGGGAGACAAAATGCTGTAACTCCCCTTCCTTCTTCTTCCCCCAGCTTTATATTGCGAGCATGACATCATATGGTGTAGAACATCCCTTTGGTCAGTTGGGGTCAGCTGTCCCAGCTGAGTCCCCTCCCAGCTTCTTGTGCACCCCCAGCCCACTCACTGGTGGGGTGGTGTGAGGAGCAGAAAAGGCCTCGACTCTGTGTCAGCACTGCTCAGCAATAGCAAAAACATCCCTGTATTATCAACACTGTTTCCAGCACAAATCCAAACTATAGCCCCATACTAGCTACTAGGAAGAAAATTATTAACTCAGAGAGAAACTTACAGCTTGGTTGCTAAAGGCTTTGTTTGTGTGATGTGCGGGAAGTCCTGCCAGCAATAAGAAATGCTAGCCAGTGTACCAAAGAGACTAAATTAGTTCTCGCAATCTTACGTCCTGGGTCTATTTGGTATACAGACCTGTGTCTTGATCCACTCCATCAAACAAGCTATCAAGGTAATTCAATAAAACAAGCTGTAAAAGTAATTAACATCACAGTTCTTGACTCAAATCATTACAATTTTGTTGGAGAAAATCTTCTGGTTAATCCTAACTGCCTTTTCTTATTATTTTCTCTTTGTAAAACCCTTTGAAGAGGGTATAAAGTAGAGGTTTTTCTGTGCTGATTCTTCTTCTTCCTAAAGCTAGTGTCTAGGAATGTTCAGCTTCGAAATCTAACCTTAAGGTTTATGTTAAATTTGCTCTGAAGTGTAAAAATGTGTTTAAACCAGATGCAGTACTTACTATGGAAAACATGGTGAATGTTCTCAAACATACTAATCAAGTGTCCAGTAGCACACTGGTGGATATTGCAACTTAGACTGTTCTTTGGTATACGTGTAATTTTGTATACCTAATCCTTAACCCAAACCATTGCTGCTACACAATATATTAATCAGGTCTTGTAAGAGAGAGTCAGCTTCCCTTCCTGTTTCCTACTTAAAATACTAGGAAGAAAAACACATCTTCTTTTTTAACATTTGAGTGTTTTGGCAAGGTCATTGTCTCAGAAGAAATTCTCTTAGAGGTTTTTCTGCCATCTTTTGCATTACTAGTTTCATTACTAACAACCAAGTTCAATTTTTTGAAGCACGACAAAACGTGTGCATAAATATTACAATCATACCTAAATTTTTTAAAAAATAATAGTTTTGCATGTAACTATTTAGTGAAGTCCTAATTATTGTTTATTGTTTCTTCTGTTGTTAATCTACTAGGTTTGTCGTGTTCATTCCTGTAACCTGTCACACACAAAGTTACGGTATAGTGTTGCGTTTGAACAGAAACCAAACAACGTAGACTTAATTCTCTTTATTGCTAACATCAAAGTTATTTCTAAAAACAGATGAAATTCTGATACTTACAACCTCAGTAGTCCAGACACAGGATGAATGAAACCTAACACAATATAACCATTGTTAACATAACATCGTTTATCTTTGAGCTAATCTATATATTTATTTACAAAATATATATGCTAAATGTGACCCCAAAGTAAGCTTAAGGTACTGTATTAATGTCACATTCATTATGTGAGAGTAATATTAAATTACTATTTTGAATAATTGTACATGTGCATACCAAATCCTTCTAAAAGCAAAATACTTATTTTCTCAAAATAGTCTAGTATGAGTATGAAAGTGTTATTTTCGTTTCTACTTAGCAAAAATATTCCAATCCTAATAAAGTGATACAAGACAAGATTTATTACCATGATCCTCAATTAGCAAAAAAAAAAGATTCTATCCATGTTGCTGTTAAATCAGTCTTTCTTACCATTAAAGTTTTTACCCTCTACCTTTCAAATCAAAGTGTTTTCTTGTTTTTAATGTTTTACCAAAAAGAAGGAAACATTAATAACTGCTTTTTCTTACTCAGGAGTCACAGTCCAAGTCCTTTCCACAGTCCCTGTAATGTTCAGCTACTGGGTAGGTTCCTACTAGCGTATTTTGTAATTCATATGTTACCAAATTTTTAAAAACTAAATGCATCTTCCTACAAATCAGGTGATTGAAGTAGTCACTGGAGCACTGAAGTAAATGGGGAACTGTTCTGCTGGGAAAAACAAAAGACAAAAAAATAGTCGAGTTATCAGAAGAGCCAGCAGAGTCTCCTGGCAAAACTCCACTCTGCAGCACACCCAGTAAGAATGAGACAACAGAATTTCTTCTGGGGACCTTATGAGGGTAGCTGGAAACAGGGAGAGAGAATTTACACAGCATGGATCCATGGTTAGCAGGTAGACATATATCTACAGATTCCATGAAAGCTAGACATCAATCAGTATTTTCTCATTAAAGAAAGAACTAGAGGATATATTTGTGGTCTTGTCCCACTTTCCTTTAAATGTGGCATGAGACTCATTCACCTAGAATGCTTTGAATCTTAAAATTCAGTAGCAAATTTAAATTAATATGTTCCCTGCATGGTGATCTTGAATGCATCAAGAAAATAAAAACAGTCTGAGAAGATAAATCACAGCAAAATGCTTCTCTAAATACGTTCTTAATTTGACTATTTAGCTATGTGTACAAGTTGAGCTGTTGTATGGAAACAGACGTGCTACATTAAAAATCACTGTGTTAAGCCCACGGATAAGTAGTACCACCGATCTTCAGAATTTCTTGTTGGGTGACATATCTTTAAAATTTTATTCTGATATTTATGGGACTGTTTTCCATTAAATATGTATTGGGGGGAAAAAACGGAAACTAATCATATGGATATTGCAGTTCTCGTATTAGAATTGACTGTTACCTCTTTCTAAATGTTAAAGAGGTTTGCTCAAGTTTTCTCTGTAGAATGCTCGTGCTTCAGCATCTCACATTTCTTATTTTTATCTCTTCAGCTCCAATAATAGGAGACTAAATATTCATTGCTATGTTTAAAAATTGTATGCTGAGGTTTTTGCATTGGGATAAACAAAACAGGGGACTGGTTTATATAAAAGACCAGATACTTAAGTGCAGCAACTTGGGCTTTGTTACACTCATCCTGAGCAGTAAAGGCAACAGCAGTTGATAAAATATTCAAGACAAGAAGCAGAACTGCACCCAGAGGTTTTAAAACAAGGCAAAATTTAGCCTTACTGTTTTCCAGCCATTCAGAACCGTAAAGTAAATTTTAGGTTCGAACTCTTTCTCTGAGTTGTTTGCAGTGACATTTACCCAATATCTTCCAAAGGTGGTAACATTTGAGAACTATATTTTAGTGTACTATTCTGCTTACTATCTTACCAGGCCAAACCTCAGGATACTTTGGATCTAGCCCAGATATTAAATAATGATTTAGCTGCTACAGTAAAAAAGTACCCCAAGAGGTTCATCGGCTTGGGTACGTTACCTTTGCAAGCTCCAGACCTGGCTGTGCAGGAAATGCGTCGCTGCGTGAACGAACTTGGATTTCCTGGAGTGCAAATAGGATCTCATGTCAATGAATGGGACCTGAACGCACCTGAACTGTATGATATTTATGCTGTGAGTAAATTCCTTGTTTTGGGGAATTCTGTCCAAAAATATCTGGGGACATACTCAGTCATCGACTAAATTTATGGATACATTAAAACACTTGAGCCTTCTAATCTGCTTAGCGATCAAAGAGATTCAGCTTTAATTATGTATGATAATTCATTATAGGATATAAGGACAATAATACAATATAAAACATTCTGAAACATACTTTATAATAATTAATAACAAAATCTTTTTATTATATGAGTTCTCACTGTAGAGTTGCTTTCTTGGCTTGTGAGTATAAGTGCAGTATTAAATAAAGCATTTCTGCACTGTTTGCTTTCGGGTTCAAGTTACTGTACCCAGTCTTATTGAGATAATTGATAAAACTCCCTGAGATTTTCAGAAATACCTATAGAGCCAAAGTACCATACAGAATTGTGCAAATCGGACCAAAAGTTCCAAACTGAATGTATTGATTATAAAATGAATTTATAGATTGCATTTCTTAAATAGCCTGAGGTCCAGATGAGGATGGTCATTTGTCTAAATTATGGGGTTTAATTAATGTACATTCTGTATCTGTTTCACAGGTTATTATAGCTGTCAGCTTGAATTTGATCCATAGAGGTTTTTTTTCAGGATGCTCAATTTATTGAGAATCCTGTTAGTGCAGCATCTGGACTATTGGTTTTTATGGTCATACATAGTCAGTTATCAACTTCCACTCTTGGAGCTGCACATATTCACAGAATCACAGCATGACTGAGGTTGGCAGGGACCTCTGGAGGTCATCTGGTCCAACTCCCCTGCTCAGGTAGGGCCACCTAGAGCGGAATGTCCAAGATCATACCCAGATAGCTTTTGAATATCTATAAGGATGGAGACTCCACAACCTCTCTGGGCAACCTGTTCCAGTGCGCAGTCACCCTTGCAGTAAAAATATGTTTCCTGATGTTCTGAGGGAACCTGCTGTGTTTCAGTTTGTCCTTTGACTCTGGTCCTCTCACAGGGCACCACAGAAAGGAGCCTTGCTCAATCTTCTTTACACCCTCCCTTCAGGTATTTATATACGTTAAAGAGATCCCCTCTGAACCTTCTCTTCTCAAGGCCAAACAATTCTTGCTCTCTCAGCGTTTCCTTATAGAAGAGATGTGCCAGTCCCTTCATCATCTTTGGACTCTCTCAAGTAGCTCCATTTCTCTCGTATACTGGGATCTCTCTTTTATGTTGGGATCTCTCTCTTTTGCTGTACATTGAGGGGGCCTACAGGAAAGCTGGAGAGGGATTTTTACAAGGGTATATACTGACAGGACAAGGGGCAATGGCTTTAAACTGAAAGAGGGGAGATTTACATTAGATATAAGGAAGAAATTCTTCCCTCTGAGGATGGTGAGGCACTGGAACAGGTTGCCCAGAGAAGTTGTAGACGCCCCATCCCTGGAAGTGCTCAAGGCCAGGTTCAGCAACCTGGTGTAGTGGAGGGTTTCCCTGCCCATGGCAGGGGGTTGGAACTAGATGATCTTTAAGATCACTTCCAACCCAAATCATTCTATGAGTCTATGATTCTATGAGTCTTCAACTTATGTTTAACACATGTAGGAAGTAACCTGTATCATTTTTAGAAACATCCCTGGATATTAAAGATTATGAAATTAGGACATATTTGATAATGAGCTTCATCAATCTACCAAGCCAGTTATTTAATGCTATTTTTAGATTACAAATGTAGATGACAATTACTCCCTACAGTCCAAAAGCTGCAGCTTTATTTATGCATGTATGGGTAAATAAACCGATTTTTTTCAAATGTGTGATAATCTCCATAGCAACAAGAGGAGGTCCAGAAATAATCTGACAAAATGAAGCTGTTAAATCCTGGTTAAACATATGAATGACTCTGATTACTATATATTTGAATTTAAGAACATAGTTATATTACTCAGTCAGAATCAGCATCCTATATTGTTCTTCTGTTTTCCTCTCCAAAGATGTCAGTAGTTTTGCGAAAATCAATATACTTGAATGGAAATGGGTTCTTGATCCGAATAGCTAGATTTTGAACTCTTAGGGTGGATTAGGAATAGTTTTAACTTTTTTTTTTTAACCAGGCAGAGGGCCAAAGGGAACAAATGTAGTGAAAGTGCAATGAAAATTTCTGAATGCTGCTGGAACAATTCTGCAAAAACCCTCCTAAACTGGTTCTACAAAACATTATGAGAATTCATCCTCATATGTGTGATGAAACCAAAAGAATGCTAGTTTGAAATGAGTTTTATACTGCACGATGGCTGACAAACACAACTAAAAAAGGATTTTTGTAGCACGTTATTCTGAGAATCATAGAATCATAGAATCATAGAATGGCAGAAACACTTGGCTTACTAAAAATGTATTTATAATCAGTTTTTCCAGTCCTGTAGTCTCAAAGAGAACTTTGAAACTGAGTGCAGACTTCAGGATATAGCCCAGAGGAGTAAATATGCCCAACTATTGCTTACAGTTCTTACTTCTGGGCCTATTTTCATTACTAGTACTAATGCTCAGTACAATTTTGCTGGTAATCTTTAAAGCACGACTAAGAACTGAAATGCATTTTTGTGTGATTACTCAAGATTTAGATTTTTTTCTTTTTGCTGCAGGCTGCTGAACAATTAAATTGCTGTCTCTTTGTGCATCCCTGGGACATGCAGATAGATGGAAGAATGTCCAAATACTGGTTTCCCTGGCTAATAGGTGAGTGTATATTTACTTTGCTTCATCTACATTTATGAACTGTCACTGCATTATGCCCAGAAGATTGTTGCAAAGGTACTAGTACAGAGAAAAAACACATGATTTTTGTATCAGTCTTTGGGATTTTTAAATCAAGTACTGTGATTAAATCTGTTGTATAAATTCAATAGTCATTTGTTTTTAAGCTTGTTTAGTTTTTCTAAGTTTTAAATAACTAGAACTAAAATAATTAATATTAATCAGACTAGCAACAGAATCTAGTATTCTCTTTTGTCCTAAATACAAAGAGCAGATGATGAGGGAAAAGTGAATTGTCTCTGAAATGAGCTCCTCAAAAATAATGTGAGTAAATGAAAGAGCAGGCAAAACCAAACATTACTTCCTAGAATTTCTTGGATTATTTCCTAGAAATAGGTTGATAAGTTCACATCAACTATAGCTGAAACAACATGTACTTTTGAAGCTCCCCATAGATGTAGGGAATTACCCAGTTTCTGTTTTATTCCCCATCTGCTAGGTAAATCAGAACAATGTTGAATCACAGGAGACAGGTTCTACTGCTACCTAGAAATGTTTAGGCCTGATTCCACCCTCACTTACTCTGTTTTGCATTGTTTTGTTTTGCATGATTTTGCACTGCCTCCAATAGAGCTGTTCTGGAAAATATACACAATATACATCTAATATATGTTCTGCAATATACACTGGAAAATCTCAGTGTTCCTATCATCAGCGCATTATTTTGAAACAATATCAATTAGTCTTAATCAGAGCAGGCCTAACAACGCAGATTTTAAAAGAGACTAAAATTATTGTGTTTACTCAACAATGTATAATTAAAAGGTTTTCCTGCTAAGCCTAATGAGGCTTTGCATCTAAGCGTACGGTAAAACATTAATGGAAGATAGCCTTTTGAGCTGCGTTGGTACTGTTTCCCCTCAGAGATGAGGGGAACTCAGTTCCTAATTTCCAAGCTGGAGGTCTGACATTAGGTGCCTAAATGGCACGATATTCTAAATATGTGAGGTATGCCCAGAAACTGAGGCCTGGTATAGGAACCTAAATGGCTGTTATGTTCCTAACACTGGGCATCCAAGTTACCCAGTGGCAAACAGAGAGAGATAGGTTATTTCTAAACTCTAGGAACTGTCACCATATCATAACTAAACCCCAAATCTGTGTTGGAATATCCACCAACATGTCTGCCCCATTTTCCACACAAAAGAAACCCAGAAGCACAGGTGAGAAGAGAACTTGGCGTATTCCAGGCTTGTCTTTGCACTAGGATAACTACGGAATCAAACCTGTACTGTGCAGTTCAGGACATACCCAACCTGCCTGTCAGCTGTCCTAGTGGTGTAGGACAAAAACTGGGCTTAGAATTCAGAAGATCTCAGCTTCCAGTCCTGTGTCCTCATTTCAGTTAATTAATATTCAACTTCATGTTCCTCTAATAGAAACAATGCGTAACCTTTGACAGCTGCTCTGTAACTGTTATTTTTTCAGTAGGCTCAAGGCTAATTGAAGAAAATGAAGATAACACTTAGAACTCAAATACAAAAATAAAACCATCATACAATGAAGCTTTTTTTGTTCTTAGGCATGCCAGCAGAAACAACTATAGCCATTTGCTCCATGATTATGGGAGGAATTTTTGAAAAATTTCCTAAGCTGAAAGTCTGCTTTGCACACGGAGGTAAGTGATGCACTGTGTGAAACACCTGTTCTTTAGTTGAGCATGGTACAATTGTATTTTCTGGTGTGCCAGCTAATAGGGTTACCAGTTTAAGCCTTCCACCAGCTGAGTACTATTACCTCAAAGGGGATATCTGCCAGATAGGCTGCTCATATGAACACTCTCTAGCCTTTAAGGGAAACGAGGAGGAAAGAGATGGGAGAGGGCTTAAGGAAAAGGACAAGGAAGCAGAAGCAGCAGCAGGAAAACATTACTGTGGTGAAGAAGTGGGGAAAACAGAGAAAGCAGCTAATGAAAGGGAAAGAATAAATTGCTGGTGCAGAGCACTTTCTTTCTAAATAGCTGACAGTAAAACTTATGGATGTCTGTTTATTTGTGGGTTTTTTACCTCCTGCATATTTTCAGCTTCTGTTACTAAAAATTTCTTCTCGCAGGTGGAGCTTTTCCATACACAGTGGGGCGAATCTCCCATGGATTCAACATGCGCCCTGATTTGTGTGCAGTGGATAATAAGGTGGATCCAAGAAAATACCTTGGTTCATTTTACACAGACTCTCTTGTTCATGATCGTAGTGCGCTAAGGCTGCTAACAAGTGTAATAGGAGAGGTGAGTTTTAATGCTTCCAGAAGCAGGTGAGTGATGATTTATTTAATTCTCTGTGAAATGAAATGGCAAAAGGAGAAGAAAGCAGGAAGAAGACAGCATATTCACCCAGTAAAATCAGAACCTGAGCTATTATAAACTGACGTGCTTCTCCCATGTTGATGTTTCTACTATATGGACTTATTGAAATGGTAGTTTTAATCCAGGAAATCATGCACTGTGAACCTTAGTTCAGTGAGTTCCTTGTGTGAGGTTGTTCAGGATGGGACTGCAAGCAGACGGCTTCATTTGGAGCCTTATTTTCAAATGGCTTAGTTTTCAAACTCAATTCTATACTTCAATAAATCAAATTGTATTTCCACTTGGGAAGTTATAGGCACTACTAATCAACAAGAGACCTATACTTGTGTCCTGATCTCTGGAACTCATGAAATTTCTGCAGATAGCAGGCAGATACCTACCAGATGTCAAAAACAGAAATGCAAGCTCTGACAGTGACTTTCTTGTCTCAACAGCTGTATTCCTCTTTTCTGTACGTTAGTTTCTAGACTCACATAGTACTTGCTCACATGTGGGGCTGTTGCTGTCATCGGGGCCTCTTGTATGACCAAAGTTCACAAAGACAGCTAAGCTGAATGTTATCCTTCTCTCTGCAGAAAAGATACTGTTGATTTCCCGTTTTCATCTCTAACAGTCTGAACAGGTTACTGCAATAAATCTGTACTAGAACTGGTGCAGAAGTGACTTGCCTAGGCCCACCAAAAATAATAATGCAGAAGAAACTATTGCTTTTTTTATCTTGGTACTCCGAGCCCACATCCCAACCCTTTCAAATCCATCAGTTTTCAGTTTCTACTGCACAGGAAATCTGTAGCTTTGAGACTGGACTTCTGCCTGCAGCTTCCCTAGAGTACTTGTGCCTTTTAGGAAAACTTTGCGTTTGAAGGTTCAGGAAAGATTCACCAATGTGACAGCATAACCACAGCCTGAAACAATACTAGAGCAAGGTTTTGGAACGTGTATATGTATGTACACTTACAGTAACACTACAGCTCTAACGAGAGGAGAGAATATCTCTTTCTTAAATCTACCATGAACCAAAAATAGATTTATGGCAGGAGCCCCATAAAATGTGCAAAGAAACTACCATGCAGCCTAGTTTCATTAGAAACAAGTAAGATAAAACCCAGGTCAGTTTATTTGTCAAAAGATCCACTAATAAGCTGTTAGTATTGGAAAGTTCTTACAACATCAGTGAGTACTAACTTGGGTGCTATTTGCTAAGATCTTTCCATACATATAGACATGTTATAGCATTTTTTTGGGCAGTGCTAGTCCTAGTGAACACTGATGGAGAGATCTCTGTGTCAGGGATGAAGTTTTGGGCACCAGATGGGTTACTAACAAAATGCTACAGCTCCAGCCCAATATAGATTTCTGTTAATTTCTGTTATCAACCTCTAAATAGTAAATATATCACGGTCGACAGTCCAGGACATTCTACTATGCATTACCTTTCGAATGTAACTGTGGCTTACATACTCAAGTAGCTTTAAGTAATTTTTACAATAGATTTAAAAAATATTACTAATGTGATGTGCACTTCCATTTTGCAAGATACCCAAAGGCCTATAGAGTAACAGTTCAGTTATCTCCTTCTCTGAGAAGTTTCTCCAAATCTAGACCGTGTTCATCCTAAGTATATTCTCATTCTACATGCGGTTATAGTACAGCCGGGATGAGTCTACCTCTTGAATTTTAAATTGCCATGTTTAGGTGGTCAGATTCCTGTTTTTATTGCCAAGGAGACAAAGATCACTTGCTTGTTCCTTTATTTTTTCCATGTTAAAATGTTGGGAGATGTGTTTTGCCATTGCTAGAAAGACCTTGGTAAATTAGAAGCTGTGTGACTCAGCATGGCTGAGACTCACAGATTCTTTTTTCTGGGCTGATTCTGTTTTCAAGCTGAACTGTGGATGTCAAGAGCAAAGCAGGAGAGAAAGTACAACAGGGTGCTTAATCCATTGCTGATGAACTTAACTTTTTTTTCTGTTTTAACTAATATAGAAGGCAAAGGCAAGTCTCAGAGAAGTTGTGCTTTGGAGTTAGCTTTGCATCTCAAGGCTGCTCTAAGCTGTGGCTGTTGAGGGAAAGCTGCTGTCTTTGCACCACACTTAAACTGTAACTTCTCTACCTTTCTTCCTAAGAAGCAACACATGCAGACTCTGGCCTTTAATCATTATTAGTCTCTGCAACTGAAATCTAGCTGTTTGAGGAGAGAGAGGTTATGAATTGTAATTCAATAATCTAAAAGTCACTCAGCAATGGCCTCTCTGGTGTCTCTTATTTTGCCAACAGACTTCTGAAATTCAGTTTCTTAATGCAATAAATTTGATCAGTGTACTCCATGAGATGTTGGTGTCTTCTTTAATTCTCCTCCGAGTATTTTGAACTCAAGAAATGTGACATCAGGTGGAACCACAGTGCTGAAAAGTCATGAGTCAGATCCCAAAAACTTAAATGCTTTTAACACTCCAGAGAACTTAACAAAAAAAAAAGTACATTTTCTTTGTCTTTTTCATAACCTAAGGCATTGTACCCTTGAAAAAAAAACATTCACATCACATTTTCAATCTTTACTTTATAACCATGAAGATTAAAAAGTTCCCTCTTTTTCCGAAGAAAGACAATATTCTCACATAATGCTATTCCAAGAATCAAACACGTAAGAAAATGCCACATATCTCAGTGTTTTCAGTGCAGTCATATGTTGGCAGAATAAAAAATACAAGATGAATAAATGATGGGCTAAAAACAATGTGATTGGGTCTTAAGGATGACACTGTAACTTTATGAGCTGAAGGTTTGAACTAGGACAGCTCTCTAGAGTACAGCTAAGAGCTGCGCAGGAAGGGCATCCGGGTGTGTAAAGATGTGCTCAGACATGGCTTCAGGTCCTTAGGGAACAGCCGTTACCTGGCATCAGAATGGAACGTGTTGGCTTTGAGCTTATGAATATTAAAATCCAGTGACAGCTGTGATGAGTCATGGACATTTAACTTCTTCCCTTCTCAGTTTTCGGTGCAGGTTAATTGGAGCCTATGCCAGTTAAAGTAAGCAGAAGTATACATTTCTGAGAAATAATTTTGTAAGACTGCAAAATTGCTGCAGTCCTTCACTCTCCCATGACAAGGTAGCATGAAGTGAATATAATAAACACAAAATCCCTAATGATGCTGGCTGTGAAAAGTGAAGAACTGGGTTGAGGGGGGATTAAATGATTCAACGTCTCTCTGAAAAAATTTCCCCATGGTGATTCCTGAAGAGCCATCACCCAAAGGTAAAACATTCTCTGGCCAGAAGCTGGAGCTGAACTGGCTATAGCAATCTGGCCTTTTTTTGAGATGCGTCCCCATAGTAGAAAGGACAGTGAGATTCAAGGCAAAGACAATTTTTCACTAATGTAAGAGGACAAACTCATGCTGGATGGTCCTTGAGATTCATTTTAAGATTCAGGTCCCTATTACTGTGAAAAAAGTTGTGTTGAGTAGAGTGGTCCACTGAAGTTAAGCATTAGCCATATGTACCTTTCTGAAAGAAGAGATGCGTTAATTAAGGTATCAAACTCCTCCAGGGAAATCTGACTTCGTTTGTATCCTTTGGAATAATATAATAATACATCTATTATGCTAGGAGTATTACATATCCGAGGAGACTTCACAGGACTTCTCTGAGGCTGGTTGCTAAAGACAGGTGATGTAATCCCCATTTCATAGATGGGTACAAAACTGAAGCTCAAAGCGTGTAAATGAATAGCCTAACGTGAATACAGTGCAAGAGCAATAGTGCTGCTGCTAAATTTTTCTTATTATTTTACAGCTCTTAATTTTACTGCTAATTGATGGATCACATGATTAGCTGTGAAACACTTTAAGTTAGAGGAAAAGAAATATATAACTGAATATATATATATATATATATATGTTATTCCAATGAGGGGGTGGGGTTTCCTTCCATTTTGGTATATAGGAGATGTAAACAAGTACGTGCAAACCTTTCTGGCATACTTAACCTTGACTAATAAACAGCTGGGCAACTACTGGGTTTCCTTCTCCTTTACTTAGAAATCCATTTTCTCATATAAAGCTAAGTATGTTTATTGGTTGTGGGTTTTTTAATATATGGCATACATTTGGGTTTTGTATCTGGAGAAAACATCTGTGTATCTGAATGAATATTATAAATGAAAGAATGTATTTAGCTGCTTAAACACACACACATACAGTTGTATTTTGTTTCATCTACACTCAGAACTTGAGTAGACAGAAGAGTTTAAATTCTCCTATTCTAATATGGCAAAACTTCTATAATAAACTATACCACAACAATATAGGATGGAACAATAGAACGTGTATCTTCTGTTTGGATTTCACATAAGGTTTTCCATAGGTTCTTTCAGAGACTCTTGGGTGACATCTACTGGAGCTAAAAAAATGAAAAGGCAGCATTTGACAAATAAGAGAAACGAATCATTTCATAAAAAAAAAAAAAAAAAGAAATATGTTTTCTTCACCCTATTTCAGTGTTGGCAACTGAGTTCAAATACTATATAACAAGTGCCCCAAATGCATAAGCTTGACTTCAAATTCATGAGACATTTAAAAACATATACTTTTAATGGAAACAGTGGTTTTCAAATATTCATGTCTCCAGGAGATGAAGCTTAAAGGAAAAGAGAATTATGATAAAATCAAGAGAGTTGGCGGTATGCACTATCCAAGGTAGATAAAATGGGAAATACCATTCCAGTGTGAAAATGAACCTATAACAATGTGGACCTATTGAGGATCTGCCTATTTCTTTTCATCTCTGATAACAGGAATGATGCATACAGGTTTTTATTGAATTTTCTTTTCACTGACTTGCTTTCAGAAACAAATCATGTCACTCATGTTCTCAGATACGTGGTTCAAACACACAGCTAATATCCAATCCCAGTTAAAGACAATGACATTTAAAAAAAATTGTAGTCTTCCAAAAACATATGAAATTTTGTAAATGAGATTTTAGTTTTGTTATCTGAAGCTGAATACTAGTTTAAATTAAATTAAATTAAATACTTTTTTTAAGTGTTTGTAGTAATTCTACATTATATCATGCTTTAAGTAGTACCATTGTGATTATTACAGCTTTTAAAGTATCACACAAAAGATAATTTTAATTGCTTTATATTTTTTATTACACGTTCTTCTCACATATATGCAATCTTAAGTTTGTGTGTGTCTGTGTGTGTGTGTAGTAAAGAATTTCAAATTCAGGAATGCAAATCCAAGCATCTTTTCTGAGTTGGTGGAGAACTTCCTGAGATTCTTACAGGAATGCGTGAAAAACTTTCGTACTCATTTTGGACTGCACACAACAGTCCAGAGCGTGCAATGAGCATGAAAAAGAACCAAAAAGTACGTCGAGAAACAGAAGGGAGAATTCTGTGTACCCTTTATTGGCCATCTAATTATGGCAACACTTAACCAAGATTAATTACTGCATTTTAGGCATACTACTTGCAGAAGCAGTATGAGTAGTGCAGGAGAATAGAAGCCTTTCTGTTACATTCCAGCCCAGCACCACAGTACAGGAAATCAATCGGAGTAAGAAATTACCGTTTTTGTTGTATTCACCTGAGCAACATACACTCATTCCCATGGGCCTGGGATTTGCATTTTGAACTTTCTGTGCATCAGAATAAAAATACACCAAACTTTAGTTAGACACCACAAAAACGATTAACAAATAGCCTGTACTTTTTTCAAACTTAAATTCACCCAATAAATTCTGGAGTCATTGTTTTCAAGCTTTGGTTTTTTTCCTAATGAAAGTTGGAACACAAAGATTGTCTTCATATTCACTTTCATAATTAATCAGTCCAATATATACATGTAATTTCCTGTGGTTTGTTATAAATTGCAGAAAGCACGTGCAACTATATTGTTTAATGTTACTGCAAAATGTACAACATGTTTTTTTCTTATCAGGACAAAGTTATTTTGGGGACGGATTACCCTTTTCCACTTGGGGAACTGGAACCTGGAAAATTGATTGATTCAATGGAAGATTTTGACAATAAACTGAAGGTATGATCTTTACATTTGGGTTTTTTTTTTCCTCCTTTTCAAGCCTCTGGTTTTAGACCTGAGAAAAAACACTGAGAAATCAGTGCAGTACACTGATTTCTGCAAAGACTGCAAGAGGCCCATTAGTCTCTTTGCAGCAGTTCATTTTAAAGCACGAGTAAAAGCATATGAGTAAAATATGAGTTAAGCACACACAAACATATGTATGTGTTTTGTTTTTACAGGATAAACTGAAGGCTGGCAATGCTCTGGAATTTTTGGGTCTCAGTAGAAAACAATTTGAATAATTATGAAGATATTAAAGAGACTAAACTTCAGAAGTAACACTGAATTCTTAGGGATACTTCTGTTTGCACGTGCAATTATACAGATGAAAAATAGATTTTACAAGTATATAACAGTCTATTGTTACTTCCAAAACAAAAGCAAGGGTAGTGGAAATGGGTATGCACAGGTAATTCTGTGCATTTGAGGATTTGAGTTGTCTTTAAACAATTCTGAAATCCTTGTTTTCATTAAAAAGGAAAGATTTCATCTTTCGCAGTTGTAATAAGAATTTCTGAACAATAATCATTGCCATTTTATTAGGACTTGATGCCCAGGAAGAAAGAACTGAGAAAACTATGACTTATATCCATTACAGTTCAGTCTTTGTTATGCCCGATAAGCAGAATTTTAAAGAATCTTAAAACAGAATTTAAACATAATTTCGTTGATGCCAAATCAGAGGCAACGTTTGCCTTTATCCACTGATGGACGTTGCAGCATTACACACTTCAGCTCAGCACTGCAAGTGTGTGCGCTGACTCTTTGCCAATGTTGTGATAGGATGGAAAAGGTCTTTGTGGGGACTTGCACTTTTTAACTGCCTCCGACACCACTGGCAACTTATTCATCCAAAACAAGTTGAACCATATGGTTTTAGGTGCAGAAATAATGTATTTGTGTGGGTAATACCTTGTGCGTCACTGTCACTGTCAAAGTAAATACTAGTGGTTTTCAACAGTGTGGTTTAATGCTCTGTTCTTTTAAAAATACTTCCTAAAAGTAAGGCTGGATACCTTAAATGCTGAAATGTTAATGCTTTATCTACTTTGAGTCCTACTATAGGAATGGAAAGATGGTTTACTTTATAGACCATTGATTGAAATGGGTTTTCATGATTTTCTGTTGAGTGCACAGGCATCACCTGTGCACCTCCAGAGAGGATTTTACACTAGTCAGAAAAACGCTGATGAGCACTTACAGTCTCCGTTCTCACTGGATCATTTGCTGGCTGTGCGTGGTGTTACCACTCTTCTGTTTAGTGGTAGAAGACTTCAGGAAAAATAGTGTTAGACGGAATTTGTTTTCGTAGCTGTGTCCGTAACTGTCCGTATGTCACAGACTAAACCTGAAGGATGGTGAACAGCAGTTCCTGGTGATGCCAGCCTCTGTTGGACTACAAAGAAGGCTTTGTCCTTCTTTATGGTGTCAAAAAGCAAACCAAAACAAGAAGTGGTTTGTGCAGGTTAATCATATGTTTTCCTAGCTATTGCAATATTTACTATATTTCTTCTCCAGATATATTCCATAAAAGACTACTGCACATCACAAGCTGAAGTAGTCGGCAGCTCACAGGTTTAGGCTCTGGAAATATTGGGTTTTCATGTAAGAGGAAAAGAGGACCTAGATAAAATAGCTTTAACAATATTTATTGTCCTCGGGTTCACAAGACTTCTGTCGACCTTTTATCTACATGCAAGCATTGAGCTACTTAAATGTACAATTTTTCAACTAGATTGTTTGAATTAAATTTCAAAGTAGAAGAAAGGCAACTTCGTTCTCACATAGTATTCTTTTCCTTCAGCATATTTGGTTTTCACAGATGTTTAAATGGATTTAAGAGGAAAACACACTGTGATTCCTCCAATACATTAATTTGATTAATTCTTTAATTTTTTTAATGAATGAGATCAGTTCAGTTAGTGAGAATGCAATGTTACACCTTTGGGGACCAAGGTCTGGAACCTTTCCAATAGCAAGAACAGTATTTAATTACCTTAACCTGTGACTGAGTGGGTGATTGCAGCACTCTGCATGGCCGTTAATTAATGTGCATACCCTGCATAAATCATATTCATTATGCACTGTCATTATTTAATGATATTCTACTTATTCTCGACGTGTTAGGATTTTTAAGACAGGGATATAGATAATCTTCCCTACATCTTCCTTTTTTTCCATTAACAAAGCTAATGTAAAATTCTGATTACAGCCAGACACGAACATTCTTAATACTCTTCCACCAATTATTGAAGTAACAAAGAATGTAAGTTGAACACTCAAACTCCAGGAGTTTTACACAACAATTTAAACAATGAGGTGAAACAGTGCACTGTGAGACTGTTAAAGGCACAAAAATACGAAGGCAAAGATCAGCTCCTACTTACAACGGAAGCATTTGTAGTTAAATTTCCTCTGCACTTGCAAAATCTTAAAGATGACCTACAGGTGGGAAGATGAGGCGAGTAACGCGTGCCCGTCTGCGCTGCGTTATACATCAGTGTATTTCGTTAGTGTTCTGTCGGGTCCAGTTACAAAATTGTAACTGCTTGTGTAGAATTTGCACGGAAATTGTAAAAGAACTAGTTGTAACTTAATCTTAGGTGAACAAAACCTCTGTGGAGTGCTAGTGGCAGGTGCTAAACATGGAAAGAATGCTTGGAGCTCTTGTTTTGATCCATGATGATGAGAACTCAAGAGAAGAACCTTTTTGTACCCTTTGAACCCTGAATCCAGTAACCCCCAACTACTGCTGAAAATCAGTAACTGAATATGTGAAGTATTTAAGTTTTCTCTGTCCCGTGCATGTGAGTGCCCAGGTTGGGCACCACAGTGCTATTTAAGGGTGCAGCAGGCAGCAGGTGAGTTTAGCAAGTGATCCCAATTGTTACAGGGAGCTGAAGCGTAACATGGGAGAGGCTCGGACAGGCTCCTGTTTGGTGCGATGTGAGCACACACATCTCCGTGTATCGAAGAATAATCAACTTACTGGAGCTATTAACCTGGAAGGTCACAAGGTATCACTGGACAGCTTTAGTTCTGCCTTTTGGCACTGAATTCCTGGGAAATACTCCCTGTAGAAGTTAGTTATTGCTTATATACACGTGATCGTATGCACCATACGCTCAAGACGCAGGAATTGTGTGATCCTTAAGTGTTCCTGCACTCCAGAGAGGAACGTTTTGCCTAGACTTTTGCTACGGCCAGTACCAAGAACAGAATTACAGGCACACTGTGCCCCTCTCAGTCTCGGTATTTTCATGTATCATCATACACGATGATTATAGCGACTTCAAACACGTTAAAGACCTTTCCACCTTCTCCTTGCAGCCTCTATTCCCAGCTCTTTCCTCTTTCCAACACCAGTCCATTAGCATTTCCAAATATTTTAGCTCTTAAGACAGATGTTCTTTTATTCTGGAGCCCTCACGCAACTTATTCCAAGTCCGCAAGAATCCGAAAGGCAGACGAGCGCGGGAGGATCGCGCTTCCTGGGTAGTACATGGCACGGCAGCGAGACAACAAGGAGCATCCCTTGAACCAACTGAGGCTGGAGCGACCTAGGAGTTTCTACTGGAAGGACGTTTTGCGAGAGGCGAGAAGAGGCTGTTTGCCGCGACTCGCCAGTCTTAACGGAACGGTGAAAGAACAGCGTCATCGCGGAGCGCGCCGGGAGCCGCTCCCCGCGCCTCCACCCGTTCCAGTTCTGGAAAAAACCGCTACGGGAAGCTGGGACGGAGACGCGAACCCATGACCTGCGGGCCGCTGCTTCCTCCCAGGAGATACCGGGATTCGGCCTTCCCAAAAAACGCGCAAACATCCCAGCGCTCTAAACCAAACTGCTCGTTTATTAGTGCTGAATCACCGGGCTACAACAGCCAACCCGGATGCCGGCGAGCCCCGGGA